CTCTCTTTCTCTCTCTCTCTCTCTCTCTCTCTCACACACACACACACACACACACATTGATTTCCTAAAAATTGAAAAGAATTTATCTTTTCTCACTTTCTTCTTTGATAATTTTCAAGGCGTCGAGTTTTATCGGACATATTGTTTCGCGAGTTTGCGATTCATTCTCTGATAGAGAGAACAGAGATCTCTGGAATCGTGATCGCGATTATCGCGCAACTTTTTTTTCATCGTGTTAGGAAAAAAGTAAGAAACGAAGCAGGCATTGATACGCGCAATTATATATATCGCGTTGTTTGACTGTAGTGACACGCGTGTATCTACGTTGCAGATGGAGGGGCTGGTGCGGGAGATGCAAGACCCTGAGAACGGGGTACCCGTGCGCAGCCAAAAACAATTTCTCACCTCAATTCCCTCAGCTTTCATGGGTGAGTGCCATCGGTATCTGCGTTGTGGAGTAAACGTAAGCGGCCATCACGGCCAGGACAGTACAGTAGGGTGCCTGCATGTTGCAGGTTACGATCTCATCGAGTGGCTGATGGAGCGGCTTTCCATCGAGGAATCAGGTATGAAAATCGTTTGCGAAATAGATCGTTGCTTATATTTGAAATTTTCCCGTCCTCTGCTTAATGTCTTAATGTCTCGATGACGCACGTTTCATGCTTATTAAATATTTATTTCTCATCACGCGTTCTTCAGTCGTTTTTCAATCGTTTTATTTTCTTATCCGACTACTTGCCAATTACTATTATTATTATTATTATTAGTTATTAGTTATTAGTTATTAGTTATTTCGAATTCAATTGTTTCCCCGAGTCGCCGAACGATATCTCTGTATTTATCATTACTTACTCTTCTTCTTCACTCGCATCATGCTGGTTGCTGGCAAAATTTGGCTTTCAATGTCTGCGAAATGCAAGTTGACGCCATTCGCGCATGAATCGTCAATTATGTTCTAACTGACCGTCACATATTTTTCCACGAAATCTTTCACCGCGAATCTGCAAGCGAATCTGTCTAGCTTCAACTGATGGATCATCGAAATTCGTTTAGCTTCTTGTTAGTTTCATTTTGTCTTTCCGGGTAAGCGAGTAAGTTACTTATTTGCTATCTACTTGCTTACTTACTCACCCACTTACTTACTCAGTTACTCATTTACTTACTTCTATCTATTCATTTATTTACTCGAATGGACGGCATTTGATTCGATTCGAAATTTTTCAGTCCAGATAGATCAATGATCTTTTGAAATATTTCTCAGTATCGACGAGTATTCTCTTCGTTCGAATCTTTTCAATTTCTTTAACAACTTTAATTAGTTGTTTAACAACCTCGACCGGCTTCGTTCATTTCCGTGCATCAACAAAAATGAAACTAACAAGATCAGCTGATTTACTTGTAATTATTTTTTGTTTCGTTGTAATAATTTGACACGTACAAGAAGAAATTTCGAATTCAATTCGGCGTGACATTCGGCGAAGAATTTTTTACGTAAATGAAACGAATTGTACATAGTATAACGTATATAATTGTACATGATACACTCGGGATATCAAAATATCAGGTGAACGTTCGCATGGATAAACTTTGTCCATATGTTCGGCAAATCAAGTTGAAAAAAAATAAATAAATAAATTTATCATGCAATAAATTCTTACGTACAGTAAGTTGAACGACACAATGATATATCATTCAATAAAATGATAATTCTAATGTGCTTTCGACTTTGAATGTACGAAATATATCGATTTTTTGATAGATGATGATAGATTTTGCCATTTACATTTACTTGTTATTGTTATTACATTACATTTGAAGGATCGTCTCAATATCGTAATATTGCAACGACGTCAACTCGTCACTCGTATTGCATTACGTCCTCTACGTCACATTTCTCACGTCGCATTAATTAATTATTCGTAATAGCTTTCGCCACCTTTGGTTCGCCACGCTGAACTGTAGAGAAAAAAAGAAATCTAAACATATATTTCTTCGAGCAGATTTTCTTCGAACGAATACGTTTAATGATATTTCTAACGATATTTCGAAGAATTTGTCGAAGAACAAAACGCAAACGAACTTGTTAGTCGAGTTAATTGAAATTTAGAGAAAAAAAATCTTTAAATTCTAATTTCGTTCGCTTTAGCCATCTTTACATTCTACAGTTCTATTTAGTAAGATAATTCTATTCTATTTAGTTCTCGATAAATCGATAAACATCATATTCCAACGTGTTCAGCAATAAATACAACTTAAATCGACCTACGATCGATCTGTCTGAATCGAGTATCAAGATTTAACGATACGATAATGATAAAAAGTTGGAGCTAAAATTTCTTTCAACCTTCGATGTATTTTAATTAACAACGTTAGTTCGATTGCTTCTCGATGCACACGTCCTTGAAACGTGCGTTTACATGTTTTTCTTCAAATTTTCTTTAACTTTAGCTACAAAGAGTAGAATGATCGTGAATGATGCGACTATGTCGGAAGACAAGACATGCGGGCAAAGCGGGAATATGTACATATTCTATCGGCATTGTCTATTAATTCTGCTAATCGATCGAATTTGATATGAAATTCGATTCGATTTTTCATTGATATGTAATCACGTCTAGAATATACTTGTCACCCGTCATCATTGTGACAAAATTTATGATTTACGACGAGCTTATGACGAAAAATTCTTACTCATATTATAGTATACCAACCAATTGTATAACATCACAGGTATATCGCGCAAAGTGTTAGAAAACACCTGTAGTTGTTACAGTTTATCGAAATCTTTCTGTTCGAATAGATAGATAAATAAAATGAAAAGTAACACGATAGCCTAAGTAGCTATCGCTATCGATCCCTAGTAGGAAATCAAAGCATCACCATCCTTCGTTTCACCACCATCTTTTTCTGCCGAAGGTCTGCACGGTTTTAAATTAGACATATCGTCTATCGTCTATCGTTGAAGATATAGTTACGATTTTTCGATCATTAACAAGATCACTTGCCAAAAAGAGAAATCGTAAGGCACGAATAATCATAAAATCAACCGTGGTGATTATTACGTGTACGCAATTATTTCATTCACACCGAATACCGTACTTGATGATATCTTTATCATCTTTTCCATCGAGATTTAGTTGTTGTTCGGTGCATCGCTGATCTATCGATATACTTGATTTGTTATTACGTACGTGTACTTACACGTTACACGTACAGTAACAACGAAAGCAACAACGAAAATGAAATATGGCAGTGAATAATCTTGATATATTTATGAAAGTTTAAAAGAACACGGTGTTGAAAAAAAAAAGAAAAAGTTGTCGTCGACAACACCATGGAAGAAAAATCTTCGAACGTAAATATACGTAAAAATATGATCGCGGGACTTTGATATTAGCAGTTGATCTTTCAACAAACAAATACATTCTCTGTATTTGTTTCGTAGAGAATTTGTTTGCCTGTTGCTACACCTTGTTTTTGGTTTGTTGCGTTCTGTTACTGTTTTCATCAGTTTCGTTAATTTAATTTTCACTGGTTTTAGTGGCTCGTTTTAAAGAAATACCGTGTGTATATACCGCATTGTCTGTTCGTCAAAGTCTCGAGATCGAGTAAAGAATTATTATTAAAGTAGAAAATGACGAAAGATACGAAAGAGACACGCGCGGAGGAAACAGGTGAGCTTGAGCTGAGAAATCGTTTGCAAGAGAACAACGAACGATTTTCGACGAAGAATTTCAATCGAGTAGTTTAGCAACTTTGTTTGTTTATTTGTTTTAAAATATAGGTAATTGGTTGTTTTTTTTTTTCAGTGACGTGGCTTTAATCTTACATTGATTGACACAGCATGCGCCGCTCTAAATATTCGCTCGGAATGAATGGCTGGTCGTGTTAATTGCTATTCGTCGTATTGCGGTGTACGCGCAATTTGGCAAAAA